TGAGATTTAAATGTCCTTCTGGGTTTTGCTCTCACTAGCATACTTGTGTCCAAACCTCATGCTAATGTGTCACATCTACCTCCAAACACCAGGATATCATCCCTTTTTCTGAGAAACCAGAATGGGGTAAATTAGCATCGGGTCAGACTGTGCACCTAGCATGGAGCTATCATTCATATACTGCTAAGGTGCTCAACCCCCTCCTCCCCCCTTCTCTGAAGCCACGTCATCCAGCCCGTGGGAGTGGTTGCCCCTTCCTTACTGTCAAATTTCCAGACTGATGATGGGGAACCCCATGGACCAGATGGTGAAACAATCCCAGCATATAGGACCAGATGAGGATGATTCAGAGCCTGATCCAGCCTGTGGACTGGCCCCTCAAAACTCATCTGGCCAGTAGGGCCAGAAGGTTGAGCACCACTGATATACAACTATGTTTAGCATTATTAAAATTCAGGGTGATTCTGACAACCATGTTGTGGTGCTGCTACAATGGAGGCAAATATTATTAAATTATTGAAGTTAGAAATATGCACAACTGTTTATTTAGAGACATATTTGAACATCAATAGATGATAAACAGACATGGCACTCAATGACATCTTGATCTCCTTTGAAAAAGCAAGGTACAGTATTTCCCATGTTCTGTCACTCCAGGAAAAATAGCGCTGGGAGAATGGAACAAATTTGAGCTTTTTTCCTACTCAAAAAATAAAATTCAAGAGTATGTTGTTGGAATTTATCCAGTTAGACCCTTTGAAAACAGCTTCAAACTTCCCACAGCCACAAGTCATGTGCTCTGAGTTGCTGTAGCCCTTTTAGTACATAATGATGAATACTATATAAGAAAAACGCAATACAAAAGACAATGATCATCACAGCAAGTGTAGCCAGGGTATATATTGACATCCTTTTCTCCATTGACCCCTGGACCAGGCATTGGTAAGGGCCTAGGCAGTTCATGGTGCTGCATAATATAGGGTAGCCACTGACCCGGGGCAACTGATCATTTATCAGAATAGACAGAAATACTGCCTGGATTACCAGTTGCAATAAGAAATAGAAAAGGTATAAGCCAAGCACTGACTTCTGAATGTGGAAGTCTATAATGCGAACACCCTTATGGCTTGAGCTGTCTTCTTGGACTCCTGTCATTGAGCTCAGTTCAGCTTCGTTCTCCTGTTGAGCTTTGACTTTGGTTTGTTTGTGCCGTAGCTGGGACACAAAAAACTCCATCAGGAGGAATGCACACAGGAAAAGGAAACAGGACATGTACCATGTCCCAATGATAGGCTTATGGAAATGTTGTTCAAAACATTCTCCAAGGCAGGGGCTTGAGAGATTACCATGGCATAGAAAGTCCTGGTGCAGATAGATCCACGGCAAACGTTCCACATAGATCACCACTGTGTATAACCCTAAAAAGCCAAACCACAGTTTACGTCCAATGTAATAGCTGCTCTCGTCACCAGCAAGAGAATGAAGCACAGGAATAATTCCAGCAACTGCTGCTGCAGCCATCTCTTGAGCTCAGACTTAAAAAGAGAACATAAGCAACAAATTATTCTAAGGAAGTGATAAAAAGCCAAAATCATATTGGGGTTCAGAGGCCAAATCTTATTTAGAAATATGAGAAAAATTCCCTCATAAAACAGCCCAGATGAAAAAGGTTGCAAATATGCTGGAAAATTATTTTGGTCAACTGAAGATTTAGGTAAGCATCTACTTCTACAATGGTTCAAAATGCAGTAAGTCTTTCTCATGCAGAGCACCAGAATAGGGGAATGAAGTACACTGATTATTGTACTCTACTAGAAAAAAAGTGTGGAGCATTTAAGAGGGATTGCTGTCTTCTCATTGACTTGAGTACTTTTGACTGTACTCAGGTTGGGGTGTGGGAAAAGGTGAGAAAAGTGACTGTATCTTTCAGCACCTGGGAAGAAAGGAGGGAGGACCGATCTTGCAAGTGGAGGAAACAAATCACAGTATGTAGGAGACAATCTAGACAGAAAAGACCCTCTTTCACAGTTCCATTCATCAGAGGATATTTGAGGCTATCTAGAATGGTCAGAGGTTGAAAACACAGCATAGAATGGCAAAATAACTACACGGTTAGTATTCACACTCATACTGAAGGTTCAAAAGTCTTCCAGGCTCTAGTCCACAAACATGTATGCCAACTGAAAATTTTCTCTTTAAGGCCAAAGGACACATAAGCAGGTAACTTTCCCCACCCCCCTTTTGTTTGTCCTATGCTGCTGAATGATTAGGATGCTCCACAACTAGCAGTGAGTTAGCATTTCATCAACCTCTGAGCAGCACTCTACTACCTCACTGAGTTCTGGGATTTCTGCATCACTTCCGTTCCTCAGAACTTCAATAAGTGCACTAACCAACTCCATAACTGGCTTTCAACTGTTTTCAAACTCCTGTGATCCTAAACAAAGCCTGGCAACAGTTTTTCTTTTCTTTTTTTTTTGTTTTTTTGTTTTAGGGATTCTCCTTAATCCCTCACTTTCATCATCTCTCTTTGCCCAGGCTCCTAAGAACAGGTTATTACCAGCCCTTTACCACCCCGCCACCTGCAGATGAAGAGTTGTTTTCTAGGGCAGCTATATCAGTAGGACAGGTATTAGAGGACAGTATTTTTACTAAACTCTTTACCTTAAAGCATTCTACAGTAACATCCTTCCCATCACTGTCTGGTATGAAGTCTCCACAGATTTTTTCTTCTCAGAACTCTATGACATAATTGATTGCCATTCCGGGTCCTTTGTTTCATCCACAAAGACCCTATCCAATGAAATATGTGAGAGGAGTCTTATGGAAATCTATAGGGCTTTGCACAGATACAGAGATTACCCATGTAAATCAATTTATAAAACCAGGCCAAAACAATCATCACACTTACTCCACAAGATTTATGTTCCTAGGTGAATAATAGTAAAATGAAATATGTCCAAGGCCCAGATTTTTAAAAGTTTTAAGGGTTTCTCTATTTAGCCTTGCAAAGTTTAAGTGGCTTAGTAGCCTCAGGGCCATATCCAAATCAATCCTGTAGGCACCTCCATTTGGGCATCACATGTTAGATACCTATTTTAGGAGGTGAATTGACAGGGTTAAAACATCTATAATCCCTCTCTACTATATGAGGAGACCTAAGGATGATTCAGAAATCCTAAGCAAGGAAGAAGCTACAGCTAGTTGATTTGGGCTTCTTGAGTGACTGTGTTTTATAATGAGTGACTGTCTTTTGTAATGAGCTACATGTGTATTCCCAATATTAAACAGTTGCTAAGCATGCTCTTTACCCACCTAGACTAGGGACAGACATTACACATAAACTGGTTTAAGTGATCAGAAACTAGTTTAAACCTGTAACAGAACAGATGTTTAGTGTACATAAACCAGTTTGAAAATGGCTGAAACCAGTTTGCAATAAACCTGGTTGAATGTAGTATCAGACTTAACTGATTTGGCTCAAACTGATTTATGCAATGTCTGCCCCAGACCCCTTGCTGGTTTAAGACAAACCAGACACTCCCAACATCCCGGCCTGCTCCCTGGACTGGATGGGGCTCTCTTCTCCGCAGCAAAGCTGACCCCTCCCCTCTGCTCCCTGGCTGGAGCTCTGGCAGAGACTGCAGGTACAGCAGAGTCTTCCGGGCTTTCCCCTGCCCTACCCCCACACCCTCGCTGCTGACTGATCAAACAGAAATCCCCCCTCCCTCCCTCCCATCTTCCACAGCACAGTCCCCAGCCCCACAGACCCTAGGCATGTGGTATGCTAGCTAAAGCCAAGAGGTGTCTGTGTGCGTGTCTTCAATTTACTGGGACAGGCAAACAGAAGAGTGACTGCTTGGGGCTTTTTGGAGCTAATCAACAGATCAGCTGGTAAACTGTTTAAGAAGAGTTTTGAACTAATGGAGAGAGGCTATTATTTTGCTGATGGGGTGATAAATACTGTTATCAGCTCCCTGCTGGCTTGCTCGCCTGTCAGTTTGCTGCAGACAGTATAAAGAAGCTAAGAGAAGGAGATTGAAAAGCTCCATATCATCAACAAATGCATGTACTGCACACACCCCTTGCCTCAGAGTGCTAGCAGGGGGCTGGGGTCTGACAACACTCCCACACGTTGAGCAGCCAGCGGGGAAAAGCCTGGGATGGTGCAGGCTGACCTCCCTAAACAGAGGTTCTGCTGGGGCCTGGCTCACTGTGGAAGGGAAGAAAGGGATGCTCTAGCACCCCCAGCTTCTAGACTGAGATACTACAGGCATGTGCCTGAATTTCCTCAGTCCAGAGAAAATGTCTGTCCAGTTACAAACCAGTTCAGCCTAGCCAGGTTAGATTAACCTGCAAAGACTGAATCAATTCAGGCTCAGGTTTTTTGTCTGTCCCTAGCCCCAAGGAATCAAATACTTTAGACACATGCCATGCTTGCATGGATCACAACAGAGGTCAGGTGGGAGTTCAGCACTTGACTGGCTGATCCAGATCACTTCCAAGCAAGGCAAACTCTATGCTCCTACCAATTGTTTTATTTTAAAATGGAGATGCCTAATCGTTATAGGTACGTAAGCAGTTCCGCAGCTACTCAGTTGTTCTTTGTGACTCCAAAGCAAAAACTCTGTGTAAGTCCTGTTTAATCACCTATCAGGCTTATCTTGCTTTGAGTGCCTGAGTGCCTAATTCACTTTTGAAAACTAAACTTATACTTCTAAGTCACTAACTTGTTTTTGCCTTGATTGTTTCTGAATGAGGTACGGAGAAATGTTCCAAACCTGAAGGCCCTATAAGCAGAGAATACTTTACTGCCAGCTCCCCTCTTTTTTAAATAGAGGACAAAAATTGCATCTTACAAAGAGAGCCAGTTTACAGGGAATTAGTGATCACTGTGTTGATCTTTCTATTAAAAATGTTATCTCAATTCTGCCTGCTTTGTTAATTAAAGACAAGAAAGAAACCACTTCCCTGGAAGCCACCTAGAAAGGCTAGTGCACTAATCAAGAAACCTGGATTCAGTTCCCTGCTTTGCCACAGACTTCCACTGTGAAGCTGAGCAAGTCACTTAGGGCACAGGTGTCAAACTCACCTTGCACCTTGGGCTGGATCCAGACTGCTCCAATGGCAAGTCAAGCTCTAACCTGGATCACACTGGAGTGGTGGTAAGTCTCAGCTATTGTCACCATGTGCCCTGGTGCTGCAGTGGCAGTGGCAATACCAACCCCAGCTCTAGCACCGGGTATGAGCTGATGGCCAGGCAGATAGGACTGTATCAGTGCTGACAGGTGAAACAGCCAGATTAACATGGCTGTGTTAACCCTCACTTGCCCTCCTGCCACTATTCATCATATCCACCAAGGTTCATGTCCGACCATGCCCCCTAATTTCCAGTAGTCCAGTGGGCCAAATAGAGAAGCTCCACAGGCCAGATCCAGCCCATGGGCCATCTATTTGACACCTTTGACTTAAGATAAGAGTTTTAAACTTTTCCATCAAAACCTAAATTTTAAAATCTTGCCCTTAGCTACTTTGTATCTCAATTCCCCATTTGTAAATTAGAGACAATAGCACTAGTATACCTCACAAGAGTGTTGAGCGGATAAATCCTTTGAAGAGCGTAAGGTACTCCTACACTAGTGATGGAGAACTTATGGGAAAGATGGTCCTCACAGTTCAGCAGAGAGGCAAAATTTCAAATGTGAACAAAAAGTGTTGGGTATGAAGTGTGGGTTTCTAAACAGGCGAAGAGACCATAAATTTCTCAAAGGCTTTTGAAAAGTCTTTGGGATTTGTGAGCCTAAGGGACAGGAGTGCTTTTGATAATCACACCCAGTGTGATCAGGGAAACAGAGCACTATTCACTGGGCCATTATCAAAAATATTGAGTCAAATTAAAACACAAATGAAAAGCTTTTTAAAAATCAGCTGGGGATTTTTACTTTCTCACTTGCTGGTGACTGGAAGATGACCTTCATTTCCAGCTCTCAGAGGGCTTGACCTATAGGATAAAATTACATTGATTGTAATGATTAATTATTGTTTACAGCGCAAACAAATCTTTACTGTTTAAAGATAAAAGCTTCTAAATAAGTGCTAAAGTAAGTATTAGGCCATGATAAGGCTCTCTGTTCTATGCCACAACAACATACCCTCTGAGCCTAAGCTTACACTAAAATCTTTCCAGAATTACCCTTATTATTGCAATCTCTCTTTGTAATGCTCCTAATGCTTGACTGCACCAAGTTATTTCACAGTAACCAAGATGTAGTGAAGGTAAAAAGGATATCGTTGCTATTACTTAGTATTTATATAGCCCCAGTAGTGTGGTAGGTGCCTAATAATAGTCTGCAAATATTTGAAGGGCATAAACACCAAGGAAGAAGAGAAATTATTTAACGTAATTCCAAACAAAAACTATGCTGATGGAGCATTAAGATTGAATTCAGAAGTTAGAAAATGACATGGCTGCTTGAGCAACTATAACTCGGCCCTTCAGCAGGTGCACATTATAATGCCATCTTTAAGTACCAAAACTGGTACATGGTCACATAGCATTCCACAGATAATACAATATATTATAACACAATGCTTTTCCAGAATCATAAAACATATGTGCAGCAACTTAATGTGCTTCTGGAAGGTGCTCATATACCATGAAGTATCCAAATTGAGCATGATATAAGAACCAAAAGAGAGGAGAATAGAGCTTTTTTCATTCCTGTAGTCTTATATTTTTTCATTGTCATCATAGTCAAGAGAATCTTTACTGACTTCAGGACAAATACTCCACTTCTTATTTGTTTTAAGTAACGCTTTTCACCGCAAGTGGCAAGTCTGAAATCAGTAACTAAAATATGAACTCTTTACGTACATCAGTGATAAATTGCTCCCATGAATTACTCACATTGCCTGCAACAGAACTACTTATGCAAGTATCTGCTTGTAAGTGGAAGAATAGGGTCCAGATATGACTCAGGCTATGTGCAGATGTTTGCCAAGGGGTTAACGGGAGGTTACTTTTGATTAAAAATGGCTACCCAATAGTTTGCCCAAGTGCACACCTTACACTTAGACCCGGTCTTAGTGATTGGAAATCAGTCTAAACCATAACAATATTGCACCAAAGTTCAGTGCACATAGACCAATCTAAAATGGTGGAACCCAGTCTAAGATGGACCTTTATCTATGTGCACGCAAATTTAACCCATCTAAATTAAGACTGGTACATCAAACTTCAGTACAGTTACCTGTACAACCCCAGGGCTGGAAAAGTCCATTCATGGCCCCAGTCCCAGGGCAGACTACACTTTCCATACCCGCCTCTCTGGCACCAAGCTATTTTTAGGCCCCTGGCCCCTTACCCCCACCCTGTGCAGACCAGCCAGCCCAAATTGCCCAACCACCAATCCCACAAGCCACTACCAGTGCCAGTTTTATCAGGATTTGCTGATGCCAGAGCTGAGGAAGTAAGTAATGGTGGGGGGAGGGGCAAAAGGGATGCGGGATAGGTACACTGGAAGGAATGCTAAAAATAGCCCCTGATCCCCACACCGCCAAGCCCTACCATGGACACTGTGAGCCCTTCTGATCCTGCCAAACCCCCCATTTATACCAGCAACCCCCCATAGACACTGCCTGCCCCCCAATCTCCCTGCAGATGTAGCCTGCAACCCTGACGACCCCCACAAATCCTGCGTGCCCCCATGATTCTCCCAATTGCTCCTGCAGATCCCACCTGTTCTCCAATTCCCCTGCATACATCACCTGCACCCCTAATCACTCCTGCAGGTTCTTCCTGCCCCACAATCCCTTCACAGATGCTGCCTGCCCTCCCAATCTTCCCATAAATACTACCTACACCCTCACTCTCCCCCCATCCCTCCTGCAGGTGCTGCTTGTAACCCTGATTGCTCCCCTGGAGCCCATCTTCACTTCCAATACCCCCAATCACTTCTGTGGATGCCATCTGCCCCCCCAGTCTCCCCGCAGATATGGCCTACATCCCCAGATCTCTCTGATCACTCCCATGGGTCACACCTGTCTCCTTGATTCACACACAGATGCTACCTGCACCCTGAATTCCCCCAATCACTCCTGCAGATCCCACTCATTCCCTGATCCCCCCACAGACTGCTGATACCTCCCAAGACTGCTTGCCTCTCTGATCCCTCTAACCCCTTCTCCAGTAGCCCTTACCTTAGATAAGGTGGCCATTTTTAATGCAGTCTAACCTTGTCCTAACCACCCTAAACATCTTTACTTAGCCTTAGTGTTAGTGAGTAGTCTACCTCTTATCCTTTTTACAAACTAAGCACTAGCAGTGCACCAATAGAGATTTTCTTGGCCAATGCCAATAGCCAATTATTCACCAAGCATATCAGCCAATACTAATCCGATAACCAATGTACAGGAGCACAGTTGGGCAGTACGGAGAGCAGTGACCTGCAGGTAAGTCTGTGGAGGGAAAAGGATGGGGAGGGAGGGAAGTGGCATGGAGGGGTGCAGATCGAGGTTCCCACAGTGAGGGAGGAAGTGGGGCAGGAGCAGGGGCAGGGACTGTGTGCTGCCCAGCCAGGGCAGTGAATGGGACCCCAGGAACAGGCTAGGGAATGGGATGAAGTCACAGGTGGCTCATCCAGGGAATCAGCATCCTGGCACTTAAAAATGGTGGCAGAGCGCTTGAACTAAAGCTTGTCAAATAAGCTTTAGTTCAAGTGCTGCCACCACCATTTTTAAGCATGGGGATGATTTGAGGAGTGAAGTTGAGAGGGATGACAGTGGACATGGGCTGCCCACTGCCAGCTCAGGGCTTTTCACCCTGTTGCTTTTGCCCTGGGAGCCATGAGCTGGCCACACTGCATCCCCTGCACATTCAGCAGCAGGAGGCACAACTCACTGCCCCCACAGCTGCCAGGTAGCCAGGCTACATGTAGTCAGTGCAGGGCTCCTGGGGCAAAAGGTAGCAGGGTAGACAGCCCCAAGCCTGCAGCAGGCAGTCTGTATCCACCCTGTGCACAAATTGTGGGGGGGCAACCTGCCCCCCATGTCTCCCCCGGGGGTGTGCACAGTGGTGGGGAGCTGCATCTGCTCTCCACCCAACCACGTCCCCTAGACAAGCTGTCCACAACTCCATTGCACACCCTACCCCAGCCCCCCCATTCACTGCCCTGTCTGGGCAGCGCCCCCAGCCTCAGCTCCTATCCCTGCCCCTTCCCCACTTCCTTCCTCCCTCAGTGTGGGGGCCTCAATCTGCCCCTCCCCATGCTCCTTCCCCCCTCCCACATTCCAGTAAGAGGTTAACAATCAGTGAATTTCCTGTTAATGGCTCTCATGTGATCATAGGTGAACTCATAACAGTTTAACATCCACAAAAAGCTGTGGGCAAAACTAGAAGAAATAGCATCATGTTGTGGAACAAAAAGAAGTATCACATTAGGGTTTTCACAGTTCATGCAGGGGGACCCTGAGATTCAGTCCTGCCCCACCAGAGGTTACCACTTCCTGTCTGCCTTTCTAGCCACCTGGATGCCTAGGATCTTGTCTTCTATGACTTAATGGAAAAAGATAAAATAGGCCTTCAATCTGAGTCAGAAAACAATGCCTCTGAATAATCTCCCCCTCCTCCATTCTCCAAAAAGAGCCCCTTCCCTAGGCCTTCCATCCACCATACAAGTTGTCCACTCTCAGGTCTTCAATCTACTATACAAATAGCTCACTCTCATTCTTCTCCAGATGAGCCCTCCGGCATAATAGAAGCCCCTCTGCTGCCTTCCTAAGCCCCTTATAGATGCCTTATGCTTCTCAGCCTATTAACAGTTTAAGCAATTCATGGTTTGTCCTCCAAGCCAAAAGTCCACCTCAGCTCTCCATGCTGCCCAAAGGTCAATGAACTTGCTCTTCCAGTTGCTGCATTTATATAGTCAGGGGAGGGACTGTGACCTACTCTGTTTCTGGTACCTTAAGGGCACAGACATCCTTTTTTTCCCTATAGCAGAGGTCTCCCTGTGC